GATGGCGTTACCTAGTTGGGTCACGAAACGTCTGCAAGGAAACCGGCAAGCTCAGAGGGAATCAAGGACCCCACAGTCCTCTCTCCTCTTTTTCTTCCTCCTTCCTCCCACAATCCCCTCTCCTTCTAACACTGATGGCGTTACCTAGTTGGGTCACGAAACGTCTGCAAGGAAACCGGCAAGCTCAGAGGGAATCAAGGACCCCACAGTCCTCCTCCTCTCTCCTTCTCCTCTTTTTCTTCCTGTTCCTCCCTGCAATGCCAGTCCTCCTCCTTTCTTCCTCCTTCCTCCCACAATCCCCTCTCCTTCTAACACTGATGGCGTTACCCAGTTGGGTCACGAAACGTCTGCAAGGAAACCGGCAAGCTCAGAGGGAATCAAGGACCCCACAGTCCTCCTCCTCTCTCCTTCTCCTCTTTTTCTTCCTGTTCCTCCCTGCAATGCCAGTCCTCCTCCTTTCTTCCTCCTTCCTCCCACAATCCCCTCTCCTTCTAACACTGATGATATTACCTAGTTGGGTCACGAAACGTCTGCAAGAAAACCGGCAAGCTCAGAGGGAACCAAGGACCCCACAGTCCTCCTCCTCTCTCCTCCTCCTCTTTTTCTTCCTGTTCCTCCCCGCAATGCCAGTCCTCCTCTTTTTCTTCCTTCCCGCAATCCCCTCTCCTTCTAACACTGATGGTGTTACCTAGTTGGGTCACGAAACGTCTGCAAGAAAACCAGCAAGCTTGGAGGGAATCAAGGACCCCACAGTCCTCCTCCTCTCTCCTCCTCCTCTTTTTCTTCCTGTTCCTCCCCGCAATGCCAGTCCTCCTCTTTTTCTTCCTCCTTCCTCCCTGCAATCCCCTCTCCTTCTAACACTGATGGTGTTACCTAGTTGGGTCACGAGACGTCTGCAAGAAAACCAGCAAGCTCAGAGGGAATCAAGGACCCCACAGTCCTCCTCCTCTCTCCTCCTCCTCTTTTTCTTCCTGTTCCTCCCCGCAATGCCAGTCCTCTCCTTCTAACACAGTCCTTTCTTCCTCCCCGCAATCCCCTCTCCTTCTAACACTGATGGTGTTACCTAGTTGGGTCACGAAACGTCTGCAAGAAAACCAGCAAGCTCAAGAGCGCACCTTCATTTCAACCCCGAGCTCCAAATATTCTCCCTTATCGGTCTGTTAAATTTATTGTTTGCCCATCTCACTATCAGACGTCTCTGAGCAGCGAGAGGAGGTCGAAGGGAAGGGGAGTGGTTAGGCCTGGCATGTTCTCATCCCCCCCCCCCCCCCCCGGGGAAGCCCCTCACCTTAATTATCTCTTCGTCCCCCTCGTTAGACTTGATGCATTCGGACGCCAGGCCGTGGCTGCTGGCCGGACGGTTGGCCACCATGGCGAAGGCTCGTCCCACCGGCTGCGACGAGAAGACACGGAGCGAAGAGTTAATTGTCCTGACCGAGGCTTCCCCAGAGCAGGAAGCAAAGTCCCGATTGTCCCGACAAAAACCCCCTTTTATTCATTGTCTGTGAATTCTGCTCATTCGCATCCAGCCAAGTCTTTCGAGGGAGGATTTACGGTCACAGACCTTATCAGGCTTGGAGAGCTGCCAGGCCGAGATCTGCAGAACTTGGCCAGGAGTCTCGGAGAGTCATGAACCAATTAAGGGAACTAATGGCCTCCTGCAAACTCCACTCCCCTGTCGCTCCTCTTTTATGTCCTCTGGGAGGGGCCATTCATCGTCCACCTTACTCCTGAGTTGACCCCTGTTCCTTAGCTCTTCCCTTCACATGTGCACACAGGGAACAGGCTCCAGCTGTTCTTCTGCCTCGCTGATGTCTGACTCCGAAGGCAGCTGATAACCGTCAGACGGCCCTGGCCCCCTCTCTGCCTCCGGACGCAGAGCCTCCCCCAGACTCCAGGATTAGCCCATCTTCCTCCCCAACCCTCCTCAATGTCTGAATCCACTGGCGGGCCACAACATTAAGAGGGGGGGAGGGAGGTAGAGGGGGGAGTTCAAAGCCAGCAAAGACCCCCAAAATACACCACTTTCCCACCACTCCAGGTTGGAGTGAGCAAGGAACTCATCCCGATTTTGTTTAGACCAACTTCGGCCATTTTTTTTAAGACTTGTGGACTTCAACTCCCAGAATTCCCTGGCCTGAAGAATTCTGGGAGTTGAAGTCCACAAGTCTTAAAGGGACAACTTCGATTGAGACGGGATTTCCAGCTGCTGAAATATTCTGCAACAAAAGTTGCAGAAACAAAGCGGGCCTTCCTCGCAGGGCTGACGGGCGTATATGCTCTCACCTTTTGGCTCATTTGGTCTGGTCGGTCCCCGGGAAGGTCATTCTGAAGGGTCAGCCTTAAGACTTTGACGCTGTCCTGAAATCGCCATAAGGAGAGAGGTTGAAAAAAAGAGAGCAGTTAGCGGCGTTTGGCTCATGCAAATGTATTCAGATTTATTTTAATTTATCGGCTGTCCCACTCTTGGGGGTGGGGGTGGGGGTCTCTAAGCAGAGAGGGAAAATATTTTCCCCATTTTTAGGCCTGGGAGAGGGAAAGAATGCAAAAAAAGAATAACTTTCCCTGGAGAAGAATTTGCCATTTGCAACACGCCAGCATTGGGGGAGACGGAGGAGAATCGAAACGAGATTAAAAAACGATAAAGGCTGTGACTGGAATTAGGCGTGGGAACCTCATTACCCTATGCAAATGAGCTGTGCCACCAGATGTCTTTCCCACCAGATGTTCCCATCCAACGCTGATGGATCCGGCAGCTTCCTCCGACGCTTGCCAACCCTTTGATTATGGCTAATGCCGGTATTTCTCGACTTACGGGTTCGCTTAGGGACCATTCCAAGTGACAACGCCACAGAACAAAGCGACTTATCGTGACCGTTTTTCACCGTTTACGGCCTCCGCAACATCGCCGTGGTCCCGTGATCAAAATTCGGATGCACGGCAACTGGGCTTGAAATTATGACGGTTGCATCATCCGACAAACCAAGTTAATGGGGGGGAAGCCCGATTCGCTTAACAACCAGGTCGCTAACTTGTCAACGGCAGCGATTCGCTTAGCAACGGAGGCGAGGATGGTCGCAAAATGGAACAAAACTCACCTGACAAATGTCTCATTTAGCCACGGAAAATTAAGGACTTAACTATGATCGTTATGTCAAGGATTTTAATTTTTATTTATTTATTTATTTTCAAAACAAACATACAACTTCCTCCTTCTTTACATATTGTAGAAAATGTATCAGCTGGTTGTGCATCTCTTCCACCGTCATCAACTATAATTCATATTAATTCAAATGCCTTAACTCAAATATTTACTATATTGACATCATCACACCTCCACTTTTATTTGACTATAGTTATTTAAACATCCTTCATCCTTAAATGTACCAAGATTCAATCCATAACCACATGCTGGCATTTCATTTACTTATTTGTAAAATCCTCCCTTAACATTTAAGTCCTCATATCCTGTTCTAGCTAAACATCCATAATATTTAATACCAAAGTTTTCTAATCCTCCATGTATATAATTTATTATCATTAGCCTTTCTTTATTTAATTATATCCTATATAGCAGTAGACTTATATACCGCTTCATAGGCCTTTCAGGCCTCTCTAAGCGG